TAATGAGCTGTTTGTTTTGTCCATCACTATGGCAACTCCAGCTAGTTATTTCTCCTAGAGAAACTTAGTGTGCACCAATCATTAGACTATTGAACATATTAAGGTATATCTGTTAAAAGGCAGACAGTGCTTTGTGCTTTCATGTAGTTTGCAGATGTCTGTATTCATTTGTGTTCTTTTGAAACATCCAGATAACATTAACCCAAAATAACTAATCAGTTTCTCTTAAGAGTAAAGAGGATGATTTCAAAGTTTGCATTGTTAAGTACTCCATTTTTCTGTCCTCTGCCCTTCCTCCAACTTGACTTGAGATTGATAAATCATTTTCATGGCAGGGTTTCTCTAATTTTCACTAGTGGACTGAGACACAGATTATTTTGTCATTAAGTAGAATGTGGTCCTTAATTTTAGATCTCATTTCTAAAGACATCCATTCTGTGGTCTATACTTTTTTTTTTGGGGGGGGGCGGGGGGAGGCACAACCAGGATTGAACTCAGGGGCACTCAACCACTAAGTCACATCCCAGCCCTATTTTGTATTTTAGTTAGAGACAGGGTCTCACTGAGTTGCTTAGGGCCTCAGCCTCCCAAACCGCTGGGATTACAGGCATGTTACATGTCAGAATGTTCAAACTGCAAATGTTTTTCCTTTTGTTTATTTAAAGTTCTAATCAAATCAAAAGGATGTTCTTCCTTTTGCTTGTTTAAAGTTTTCAGGGTTTTTAAAAATATGTATGTGCATATTATCTATTTTTTACCTTCTTGAACAAATTTATTTTCAAATTAGAATTCTTGAAATATGGTTGCCATTCAGAAATTCTGGATTTCTCCTTTTTTAAGAATTTTAATGTCACATCATTTTATCCTTCACATAACCCAATTGTGCTAATTGCTCCCAAATCTGCTAAATTTATAAATAGAAAGTACCTTCTTTTTATCAGGTTGTTGTTCAAATCTCTTAATGTCCATAAAAATATGGTAAAGAGTTTTCAGGCAATAGTATATTTTTAGTAATTATCTTTGGTTTCCAATTGCAGAAGGGGAAACATAACTAACTTTCTAGAACTGTGAATATCTTGTTTTACTGTAGTTTATCACAAGTATTACTACAGAGTATTTTATTTATGGGTACTCTTTGAGAATTTTTGTTTTTTTCATATCAACACTTTAAGTAACCCTATACTAATATACCTGCTAATTTCTAGAAGTGAAAACATTAATGTATTATTGATTAATTAGAATGTTAAAGAGACTATTTCTTTAGCCCAGGCAATATCACCTTCTGTCCCCTTCATGACCCACCTTTATCTTTTTTTTTAAATTTCATTTTATTTACTTACTTATTATAGTTGTAAATAGACAGAATGCCTTTATTTGTTTATTTTTATGTGATACTGAGGATTGAGCCCAGCGCCTCACACACGCTAGGCAAGCTCTCTGCCACTGAGAGCTACAGCCCCAGCTCCCCCACCTTTATCCTTTAGGGCTTATTCCACTAAGCTTCTGCTACTTCCTTTATAGCTCCTCCCTTGTCTGAATAACAGTAAAAATTCTCATTAATTCATAGCCTGCAGAAAATATGCCTGTGATGTGACAGAAAATTCTATAGATGAGAAAAAAAATTTTATTTCACAAATGAATTCCTGGGTTCCATCCAGGGAATCTGTTTTGTTTTAGAGTTTATGACTCATCATTCAAGACTTTTGTAATAAAAATGACAATTCTTTTCCACTTTGGTAAAAGGAGGGTTCTGGTTTCTTATTAGTATCTTTGTCTGGAATATTAGACTTGCCATTCGGATGCTTCTGCTATTTGATTTATGAAAATTATAGTTAAATCAGCTTTTAATTCTTAACTATAACTGCATTACATTACAGGTACTTCTTAAGTACCTTTTAAACTTTTAGGTTTCTAGTTAAAGGAAAGTAACTTTTTCTTCATAAACTTAAATTCAAATAATTGTGTGGGGGCAGGCACAATCTTGGGCACCTGCAATCCCAGCTGCTTAAGAGGCTGAGGCAGAAGAATGGCAATTTTGAGGCCAGCTTGGGCAGGGCTAGGTGTATAATTCAATCAATAAATAAATTAGTATGGCTACTTCCATAGGCTTTTAAAGAGCAATGAAAAAAGTAATCTGTGTGTAAGAGGAAATAAACTAATTATTAAAAACTTATTTATTTTACCACCCGCTATGAATTTATCTTGAAGTAATGAAATCAAAGTTTATAAAGCTATTTATTCAATTCCCTGTCACTTTAGACCCTTTTGTGTTTTGATAAATTGCTTTGTTATGTATTACTACTTTCAGTTGTTAAAGCAGTGCTAATAGTTGAAATTTGAGTATGGACAGTACAAGCCTCTGAGTCAGATGACTCACAGGACATCCCACAGCCTTGGCCATAAGCAAAGGAGAACAGTGTTTTGCCTCTCCAGATGAGCTGGGATCATCTGTTGGCTGGGATCACCTGGATAAAGCACTTATACTTGTATCCCTGGTTTAATATAATGTTCATTAAGTAATATATCATTACTTAGCTTTTTTATTAATTAGAAAAGCAGTGTAGTGTTTAAGCAAAATTTTTGTTTTAAAGATACAAACATTTCATACTAATATTACTGACAAATTTTATTTTGGATTTTTTAGGACCTTGTTCTTTAACTCTGTAGTATGGTTTTAGTTCTTCCATGATAAGTAAGGATGTTCATGGGAAATTGTTTAATGTGTATATCAAATATTTTAGTGGCCATGGCATTTCTTTCTTCCTTAAATTTTAAGATACTTAAGTGCCTACTGTGTGCCATTTTCTGTGGTAGGCATCAGGAATAAAGGCAGCAAACAAAACACAGTCTGTTTTCCTGGTGTAAACTTCCTGGATGAGAAAGCCAGACACAAATAGATAAGTAGATCTGTTATAATAAATGCTATAAAGAAATAAGATAGGGGCTGGAGTTGTAGCTCAGTGGCAGAGCACTTGCCTGTATCATGGCACCACATTAAAAAAAAAAAAAAAAACGAAGAAGAAGAAGGTTCAAAAGGCTAGAGAGTGGATGTGTGGAAGTGCTTTTAAGTAGAATAGTCAAGGAGGACCTCTCAGAATAATTTGAAATAGAGACCTGAATGAAATGAAAGAGCTGTGTATCTGTTGTATGCTAGAAAAATTAACCGGTCATATCACATTCTAAAATTTAAAAAAATTATTTCATTAACTTCATAAGAAATTTGAGAATTCATTATGTACAAAATATACCCATTATGTACAGAATATAATTCTGTTTTTGATTTGGGGTATTTTGTTTGGCTGTTGTTATTGTTTTAATACTGGAAATTGAACCCAGGGGCACTTTACCCTTGAGCTACATTCCTGGCTCTTTTTATTTTGAGATGGGGTCTCACTAAATTGCTAGGTTCTTGGTAGATTGTTGAGTTTATAATCATCCTGCCTCAGCCTTCTGAGTCACTGAGATTATAGGTGTACACCACCAAGCTGGGCTTATAAGATACAATTCTAAGAAGCCACTCTTCTAAATGTAAATTTTTTCTTTTCTTTTTTTTTTTTTTTTTAAGCTAGGGTCTCACTATATTGCCTACACTGGCCTTAAATTCTTAGGTTCAAGCAATCCTGCCTCAGCCTTCTAATTGTAATTGCAGTTATGTTCCACTGTACCTGACTCTCGTTTTCTTATTTTTATAATAGACTAAAGTTTATGTGCAACTTCAGAGTTTGCTCTTTATGTTCATATATACTATAGAGATTTCTCTTAAAGCATCAATATTTAAGTTGACATTTTCTGAAACATCAAAAATCTGCTTTTAAAATTGACTAGAATTTTCTCAGGCTGCCCATGAGATATTTTCCATGATTGTCTGAAGAACTTTTAGTCCCTGGATTATTCTTTAAAAAAGATGTACCTGGGGCTCCTATTACTTACCTGTGACTCTGAGTAAGGATTATACCCAGCACCTTAAGAGGAGCTAGATAGAAGAGGGAAGGGTAGAAAAGGTGCTGCAGCTTCATCTGGGTGTCTTCACACACAGAGCATCAGGGCTCCCCCCTCAGTGTGCAGCTAGATATCACCACCCAGGGTATCTTCCTTGGGGTTGAGAACAGTGGAACATAGAGAAAGAGAGGTGATTTAACCCTGCAAAACTTGGAAAGGTGAGTGACCCAGACACCTCATGGCTTCTAGAGGCAGGGGCATTAGGACTTGGAATGGCCTCCTCCCCTCCTTGCAGAAATGGTGAAGGGAAATGTTAATACCTAGGAAAAAGAGAAAGCTTTCTCATATCCCAGTGGAGGAGTCTGGCAGTTGGGTAAGGGGAACAGCAGGCATAAGAAATTCTTTGGATCTATCCATTTGAAGCCAAAATCTCTATATAGACATCTGGTATTGAATCTGTCAAACCTGGTTATAGTCCATTTTTTCATGTTTGTATGTTTTCAGACAGCAGAATTCTTGAAATTATTGCTAGCAAATTACCCAAACCAAGCAGTAAAAGGAAAATAAAAAAGACTTATGAGGTAGTTGCCTTCTGGAAAGTGTAAAAAACATTGCTTTGGAGAGCATTTTTTTGCCTTATGTGACCAGTTATTTTTCCCACTGGGTTATAACTTCCTTAAGAACAGGGACTGTGTTCCCCATCTTTAAATTCCCAAGAACGCTTGCTCTTTTTTGTCTTACTCATACTAGAAAGTGAAAACTGAGCTTCAGCACCATCACCTCTCTTTGTTATCAGTATATTTAAAACCAAATTCAGGGTTAATTCTATAGCTCTTTCTTAGTTTTTTCTTTTCACTTCTTATGGTGTTCTGACACATAGACACTTCAAACATTCTTGGAAATAGCCTGAGCATAAAATGTAAATAGTGTGATTGTTTTTAATTTATAGCCCTTTTTTGTTTGTTTGTTTGTTTTGAAACTTACCAGAAATTTGTTGAAATACATCACCCCCCACTTTTATTTTTATTTATTTATTTATTTATTTTTTTAAATACCACCAGGTATCCGTTACAGCACTGATGTAAGTGTAGATGAAGTAAAAGCGTTGGCTTCTCTGATGACTTATAAGTGTGCAGTGGTTGGTAAGTGATAACCTCTGTTGCTACCTAATAACTGGGGAAATAGGTCTACATAGAGTGTTAATTTTAAGATACTATAGAAGTACACCTTATCAGAACTTTTTCTTTAAGTTAAACTCCTTAAGGCTTAAGTGGGGGTTTTTTTTATAGGAACTAGTTGGACTTTCTCAAAATATAGATCTTTGTTTTAAATACCTGTCCACCATCTATAAATAAGACCAAGTCATAGTAAAAAGAAAGTAAATACAGTGTTCTTTTAGCAATAGTAGGGAATACTGATGACATTATACATTATAACTTGGCTAGCCTTATAATTTCTGTTTAATAAAGTGTTATTTAAAGTATAATCTTTTTAGAAGTGATCAACATGGTTTTATTTCTACAATGTTCCAAAATTAAAATGGTAAAGCATTATACATTTTTAATGCAAGTTGAACATCCCTAATTAAAAAATCTGAAATCTGAAATCCTTCAAAATCTGAAACTTTCTAAATATGAACATGGAGCCATCAGTAATAAATTCCATACCTGACCTCATGAGACAGGTCTAGGTCAAAATGCAGACACACTGAAAATACTGTACAAAATTAAGGGGCTGGAGTTGTGGCTCAGTGATACACTGCTTGCCTAGTACGTGTGAGGCACTGGATTCGATCCTCAGCACCACATAAAAGTAAATAAATAAAGCATTCTTTTACCTTTAAAAATATATATATTTCTGAAAAAAGTATTCAGGTAAAAAATATCCAACCTCTTTTGGATAGTGCTTTCTGTGTGTTTATTTTTTAAATTTTTATATGAAGTAACAACTCTCAGTCTTTCCTTTCAGATGTGCCATTTGGGGGTGCTAAAGCAGGTGTTAAGATCAATCCCAAGAACTATACAGTAAGTATCAAAGTGATATTTGTAAGCACAATGCATTTACCAAAGAACTTGAAATTTTTAGGCTTCTGTATATCCCTCATTAATGAGATTAATGGTCTTCGCTGCTTTTCAGAAAAATAGGGAAATAAGTAAATAATTGCCTCATTGAGTATGTTGCCATATTAAAGATCATCTGTGTAACATCGATGTCTTTTCATTTTCTTAGTTGATTAAGAAGCAATTAATACTTGATATTGTTAGACACTTACATTCACTTTTAAAAATTACTATTATCAAGTTTTAATGTAGGGATCTCCTTCTGGTGACAGTACCTTAAGTAATCCTCCTATCAGTATCAAGTTAATTAAAATTAGTTACAGTGCCCTACATAGTACTAAATTAATGATATCTATACAAACATAATAAATACATATGATTCTGTTCTCTTTGAAGTTCACCATTTAAGCTGGGCATGGTGGCACACACCTGTAAGTTCACTATATAAATGAAAATATACAAGGACATGGCCTATAGGGTTCATATTAATACAATTATATCATTTTTCAATTAGTCTTAATTATTATTTAGTTATTTTGGAACTAGGGTTGTGGATCAGTGGTAGAGCACTTGCCTCACATGCGTGGGGCACTGGGTTTGATACTTAGCACCACATAAGTAAATAAAATAAAAGTATTATGTGCATCTACAGCTAAAAATTTTTTTTAAAAAAGAAATGAGGAATTAATACAAAAGGAAACTGGGATTTGAGGAGCCCTAGTCTATTATCTTTATCTGCATGTATGTGAGTGTGTTTTGTGCACACACTAGGGATTGAATCCAGGGCATTGCTCATACTATACTCAAACACTGAGCTTCATCCCTAGCCACTATAACCTAATTTTCATTCTTTAAAATGGAAATGCCTACTTTATGGATTATACTGACAATTACAGAAGATATATGAAAATTTCTCTCATATAGAAAACATGATATGCATCCCAGCTGATATTATGTCAAAAATACTTTTTATTACTATATTTTGTTGGTTGTTTTTTTTTTTTCTTTATAGGATAATGAATTGGAAAAGATCACAAGAAGGTTCACTATGGAGCTCGCAAAAAAAGGTTTTATTGGTATGTATTGCCATGTAAGTTTCTGTATGAAATGGAATTCATAATAACTGACATTTCTTATCTTTACACATGGCTAAATATAGTATATCATAATTCTCTTTCCTTTAGAAACTAGGTTTTATGGTAGATCTCCTGGACATACCTCAGCCTGCTTATGATACATCTTTTTTTTTTTTTTTTAATTTTTATTGTTGGTTGTTCAAAACATTACATAGTTCTTGATATATCATATTTCACATTTTGATTCAAGTGGGTTATGAACTCCCATTTTTACCCCATATACAGATTGCAGGATCACATCGGTTACACATCCACTGATTTACATATTGCCATACTAGTGTCTGTTGTATTCTGCTGCCTTTCCTATCCTCTACTATCCCCCCTCCCCTCCCCTCCCCTCCCCTCTTCTCTCTCTACCCCATCTACTGTAATTCATTTCTCCCCCTTGTTTTATTTTTTTTTCCCCTTTCCCCTCACTTCCTCTTGTTTGTAATTTTGTATAACCCTGAGGGTCTCCTTCCATTTCCATGCAATTTCCCTTCTCTCTCCCTTTCCCTCCCTATGATACATCTTTGATGGAAACGTTCTTGTACTCAGTGTGCAGTAGGGACAACAAGGAGAGAGTTCTTATGTTTCCAGATATCATAATAAGAGTTGGTTCAGTAGAGTGATATTATATCTTCTGTATTGAGACATTCAAAATGGCCCTACTTTGAGACACTGAATAATATTGAAATATTTTTAAGTATAAAAAACACAGTTTTTAAAATGGTCATCCTTTTGTTCCTAAAGCAATGAGAAATCTAATTAATGCCTTTTGGAGCTGGGGCTTTTAAACAGGCCTACCTGTCCCCTTTAAAGCAGTGGAACTAGCCAGTCACCATCAGTATCTCTGAGGATACTAATTTTTGTTTGCTTGATGTTTGTTTATCTTACTGTCTATTACGTGTGCTTATGTTCTTTTGTGTGAAATATTTTTGTTTGTAACGTATAAATATTTGTCATTTACTCTTCGATGTTTTAAGCAATTTAAGTCTTCATGTTTCTTTTAGTCTAGAAGGCTTCTAGTTTTTTGGAATAAAATGAACAAAAAAATTGCTAAAAAGAATCTTTGCCCTGTTAGCATAAACAAAATAAGACTGACTATAAAACGGGGAGAATCCTACTTTTTTTCTGCATTCCTTCCTTTGAGTTTTTTTTCCCTGTGTTCCCCTAACCACTGATAAGTTTCTATGAAAATAAACTATCAATATTTTTTAAATTATCCCATTTTTAGGGAAAAATACATGAAATAAAGAAACTAATATAGAAATAAAATACATAGGTAATGCTAGAACTTTATAAGATTTGGCACAAATTTCATAATTTTAAGGGCAGTTGGGATTTTGACATACCTCATACCAGTACTGCTTGTACATTATTTATAGGAGAAGCATGCTAACAGAAGTTAGTTACCTCTTTCACACTTACGTGAAGTATAATTAAAGTATAATTATGTTCAGCCCGATGATAGCCATCACATTTTTATATCATATTACTTCTTAGCCTAAATCTTAAATGTATTTTAATATAAACTTGTATGGTTTTATATTTTATTCAGTCATATTCATTACCTATGTCTAGTGTTTTCAATCTAGTTTTATGGATCTTGACAAGTATCTTATGGGTCTAAAAGTTTACTGGGACACTGAAAGGAAGCAAAGCCCCACAATACTAGTTATCTGGTTTCTTTGCTTTTGTGCAAAAACCTCATTAATCCATGATATAACTAAACTAACATTTGGATCCAGAGAGGTTTGTAAATAGACAAAAGGAAGTTTTGTTTTGTTTTTTTTACTCACTCCTGGGCACACCTCCAAATCTGTTATTTTATGTCTTCCTTTCTGTCGCATTTCATATTGTGACTCAGACCTGAGTCTGCATCCTGACCCTGTTACATTTTGTGAGTTTAGAATTGTTTGACAAATTCTGCAAAAAAGGGAGCTAGAATTTTGATAGCAATTTTATTTCATCTGCAACTCAATTCATGGAACATTGTCTTCTTAACTATATTAAGTCTTCTAATCCATAAGCATAGAATGTCTTTCCATGTTTTCATCTCTAATTTCTTTCAATGACATTATAGATTTCCATGTAGGATTCTTAACTGTTTTTTATTTCTTCTGATGCTATTGTAAGAGAGATTGGTCTGTAATTTTCTTGTGATGTCTTTATTCAAACTTATAATCAAGGTTATACCCACCTCATAGAATGAGTTAGGAAATGTTCCCTCCTCTTCTAATTTTTGCAAAAGCTTGTGAAAGGTCAATATTAATTTTTTGTGAGTTCAGGTAACACCTGTGTAAGCTATAAAATTCCCCAGAAGATCCCTGATATTTTCATCTTTCTCATCTCCCTATATATCTCCATATTAACTCTCTTAGCTTTTACTCTTTGCTCATGTTCTGTTAGAGCAATTGCTTTGTCAAAAAGACAAGACTTCACCAGGCATGGTGGCACATGCCTGTAATCCCAGCAGCTCAGGAGGCTGAGGCAGGAAGATCTCAAGTTCAAAGCTAGCCTCAGCAACAGCAAGGCACCAACAACTCATTGAGACCCACAAAATAGGACTGGGGATGTGGCTCAATGATTGAGTGCCCCTGACTGAGTTCAATCCCTGGTACCAAAAAGAAAAAAAAAAAGACTAGACTTCTGACATGTTCCCTTAAATATTTGAGAATTTATATGTAATTCAGATGTTACTTGCAATCTGTACATGCATATATGTTGACTTTTCCATAAAGTAGAAAACTCATAAATCTCGCAGTACTTTGTACTTGTGTTTTGAGGTGGGAGAAACTGTCTCATCTTAGCACGTCTAGACTAAACTAGTTTATCAATACACATTTCTGATTTACAAACTACCTCAGACTTGCCAGTTGGAATTGTTATTCAAGACAACAAAGATTATTATTTAATTCTTAATGTTGCTAAACAAGTATAATACTTGTAAATACGTCTATAAGGATTTAATAGCAATTTGTCATTTGTACCTTAGAAAAGGAATGTGGGTAAACAAATTTGGTACTAACCTGTATCTAATATATATCACTCCCAAGAAATGGAACGTGAGTGAAGAGAAGCAGTTAATGTCCTTTGATCCATGAATATGACACTACAACATGGCATTAATCCTTCAAGTAGGAGTGCTATGTGGAGGGAGAGTAGGTTTGGGGAAATTAGACTTCATAAGAAAGTACCTAAGGAAAGGAAGGGGGCTAGGACATAGAGTGACAGATTGGGTGGGGATGTGAAAAGCACACCTTGAGTGTTTCAAATTGTTTTGTGCCAGTCCTGTATTTATTTTTACTGTTGTTTTTTTTTAAGAACTTTATTTTTTTTTTAATGCGGTGCTGAGGATTGAACCCAGTGCCTCTCACATGCTAGGTAAGCACTCTAGAACTGAGCCACAACCCCAACCCCTATTTTTACTGTTTTTAAGAAGAATATTTAGAGATAGGAGCCAGCATCATTGAAGAAGTTTTTCAGTGAGCTCACTGGCCATCAGTGTTAGAGCCTTCAGTGTTACCTGTGAGCCAATATCTTGTTATTCTCAAACTTTTAATGTGCTGTGATCTGAGGAAATAAATGTAAAGGCCTAGCCAGGTGCAGTGACACATACCTATAATCTCAACAGCTTGGGAGGCTAAGGAAGGAGGATTGCAAGTTTGAGGCCAACCTTAGCAACTTAGCTTAATGCTTGCAAGAAATAAAAAGGGCTGGGAATGTAGCTCTGGTGGAACACCTCTGGATTCAGTCCCCAGCACTGTAACAACAATATCAAAAATAAGTCAAAACCTAAAACTTTATGTTCACTAAGCATTGAACAGCAGGTAAAAGCAGCATTCTTCCATAAGTAAAAGTACTACAGTCTTAAACACAGTTGCTTCAGCCATATGACTTTTCCATCTTTTTCTACCTGATGAAAAGACCTAAACCTAAATCAGTAAGTAGCATGTTGCTATAGTATTTCATACACATCTATTCCCTAACCATAATAATTCTATTTTATGTCAGGCAAGATGGTGCTGTTATCTTTAGAGAATTATTTTAAAAACTGGTGCACTGCCTTTTCCCTGTGCTCCCAGGTCCTGGTATTGATGTGCCTGCCCCAGACATGAGCACGGGTGAGCGAGAGATGTCCTGGATCGCTGACACCTATGCCAGCACCATAGGGCACTATGTGAGTATTCCCCAGAAGCCCCAAGGCTTCCTGTATTTGCTCTTCACAAGAAGAAACAATTCAGCTAATTATAAGGAGAAATTGAGACTCACTGGGGTTTTCTACTCTCTTTAAATCATAAACTTGATATGCATGTTATTTTGCTTCTTTTTCTCTACTCTTGAACTATAAATGTAGTGAACATGGATTGAGCTTTTACTTATATGCTGCACTGTACTACACAGTGGGCAGGACCCTCTCCAACCAGGTCAGCACATTTTGCTGAGACTAAAAGGTACATAAAGAAGCATTCTGTGTCGAAGAGCTTTCATTTAAAGAGGAGCTAAGACACATAAGCTTAAAGAAGAGCTAAGACACATAATCAGATAAAGTATGGAAATAGTGTAATACAGGGAAAAGAATTATGAATTCTCAAAATAGGCTTTCTGGAAGAGATATCTGGACCAGACTTGAAAGTGTGTTTAACTTGAACATCTAGAGATTTGGGGAAATTGAAATAAGGCATATTTATAAAGGTAGTAGAATATACAAGTAAAGTAAGTGAACTACAACAAAAATACCAAGTCCATTGTTGGTTTTACTTAATATTCAGTGGTAAGACTTTGCTGCAACCCTTTCTTAAGGAAGAATAACTTCCTACATGGTACCAGCACCTGTCAACATAGTCTAGGAGCCATTGGTCTAGGCACATAATGGATTCCACAGAGAAAGACTCAGTGAGCCTAGACTATATATGTGGGATCAAGGAAGGGGATGAGTTTGAGTTGATATCAAGGAGATACAACTGTGGGGACTGAAAGAAAGAGAGCCACTGAATAGAACAGAAGAGGAAAGGACAACTCCTGTCCCTGAAAGCCCTAGAACCTTGAAAAACAGACACATAAGGATCAGGAAGAAAAGTAGATTTTTTAAAAAACATTCTATCCTGCAAGCACAGCTAAATGCAGGTCAGGTGTTTATCACCTTTCAAAGCTGTGGAAATAAAGGGGACAGAGCAAGCCTTTGGAGGTAAGGTCAGTAAAGGCATCCTTGGAGATGAAGCCTTCTTGCCTATGCATCTAGGGAAAGGGGTGGGGCAAGTGCTTGGGGCAGAAGTCAGCATTTGAATGAAGTGAAGAAGAGAAGGGAACTTGAGAGGCTGTGGGCAGCTGTTGTAACCAGAGTTGAGAAAGGGAAGAAGGGGATACAAAAGGCCAATAGAGGAGATTGGGCCAGGTTACTGCCTAATATGAAACTATCAGGTCTTTGTCCTGAAAACAGGGAAGTGATGAAGATCTAATTATGAACAAGTTTATGGCACAGCTGAGGGTACACTGAAGCCTATCTCAATATGCAGAGGAGATGGGATAGTTAAGGACAGGAAACTAATAGAAAGGGCGTAGATCCCATGGGATTGTGAAGAGAGGGAAGTAGGGCATGACATATGGCCTCCACCTAAGAAAAATGGCACAAGAGAAGACAGCATGAAAAGTGACTACTGACTAATAAAAGGGTTTATGTTGTTGTCTGTGTTTATTGGTTATAGACATTCATTGGTGCAAGAGACAAACCATGCAAAATAAACCCATAATAGTAGATAGAGCAAGGGAATAAAGGCAGCAGAGAGGGTGTCATTCAAGGACCCTAGAAGTAAAACAGGCCTTGGAGAAAAGGAGTGTAGAGTTAATGTACTTAGAACAGTCCTCAGCTCTAACTGGGCATAAAAGTAAGTATTACATCATATTAATTATATATACATCTCTGAAAATAAACAGAAGCAGATTAGATACTTTTGGTTTGGACTGCCATTCCCAAAAGGGACACTTTTCCCTATGTCACCTGTTAATGAGCTGTGAGTATGATCTCTTGTTTATTTTGAGCAGGACACTCCACAGAATAGCACAAACTAGTAGGCAGGATACCATTATTCATAGCTCTTTCCATAGAGGTAGCAGCAAAAGCAAATTTTATGAGGCATTGCCAGCTAAGCCTTGGACTATACTGGTAAATGTTGTGTTCCAAAACCCAGGCTAGGTGAGGAAGCCATAGTTTTTGTTAACTTGTTTCCAGATGTGAACAGGAAATCTTCTGTCCGGCCCCATCTGGCAGTGCCATGTTGGGGGAGAACATTTCCCATATTCTTTGCCCTGGGCTGCAGGACCATTAGGTATGCTGGGGAGCCTGGCAGTTGGCACTAGGCCTGACCTCAGACAGTATTTCCTTCAGTTTCAGCATTTGCATTTTCACTGTTTAGAAGCTGTTTGGCACCAGATTTGCAGTTCTGTTTTCATAATGTTAATTATTCATGAAAGAAAACTGTGGGAAAACCTCTAATTCTGTAGTGCTTTATTAGACTGCTTTTTTTTTTTTAACTTGCTTTCTTTTTGTTGTTGATAATTATACAAGAAATGCAATTCTAAGTTCTCTCTGTGAAAATATTTAAACAATATGGATAAAAAACAGATCAATTTTTAACTCAGCTACAACACAGTATTGGGGATAGGAAGATGAAATGAATTAAGGCATCTCATCTTGTTCACATGGTGGCAAATTGCCTTAGCAAATCATGCTTTGACCTTTGATTTAAAGTTCTCCCTTCATTTTTTGTTTCTTTCCTGTATATAATCAGAGTGCATCTCATTTCTCCTGTTTCTCTGATCAGTGTATCTGTTCCACAGTGTTGTGGTTGTCATTTCATAGTAGTATATCTGATACCTTGGGAGGGAAGCCCTTCCAAACCCCTTTTTTCTAGTTATGCTTGTTTCTCAACAAAAATACATACACATCCTTAATTCAAAGAGGGGAGAAAGCCAAGCATGGTCGCATATACCTATAATCCTAGTGACTCGGGAGACTGAGACAGGAGGATCGAAAGTTTGAGGCCAGCCATAACAATTTAGTGAGACCCTATCTCAAAAAAAAAGGGCTGGGGATGTAGCTCAGTGGTAAAGTGCCCCTAGTTAGATACCCAGTACCAAAAGAAGAAGAAGAAGAAGGGTATAAAGTGGGGTGATAAAAATCATTAATCCCCTCTATACTTAAAGAGCTAGCACTGCTACCAAAGGTGCTTTGCAAGCCAGGAACTGTGGTACACATCTGTAATCCCAGCAACCTGGAGGTTTACAAATTCACTGCTAGCTCAGCAAGTTAGTTAGACCCCCATCTCAAAATGAAAGATAAAAAGGAGCTGGGCATGGTGGGACACACCTATAATCCCAGCAACAACTTCAAAGGCTGGGAGTTCAAAACTAGCCTCAGCAACTTGTTAAGGCCCTAAGCAATTTAGCAAGACCCTGTCTCAAAATAATAAAAGTAAAAAGTACTGGGTAGGGATGTGGCTCAGTGGTAAAACACCCTTGGGTTCAATTCCCAGTACAAAATAAATAAATAAAAATGATGATGTAGCCTAGTGATATAACACCCCTAGGATCCCAAGTACTACTTAAAAAGGGGTGGGATATTCTGGGCATGCACCACTGTATCTTGCCTCCATATTCCTATTTTAAAAATTGAGTCTTCCCAGCAAGAAAATTACAGTGTCTCTTTCTGTCTCAGACTGTTTTGGTGACATATGCAAGTCTTGTGGTAGATTGTGGTAGACGGGATGCATACTCTGACTTAGGATTTAAAGGAATAATAGCTTTAAGCTGAACAGTCTCATAAATATAGAGACTGATGCTAAATTTCTGAACTGTTTCTCCCAGTAGGAAATATTATTTATTACATTTTCTAGCAACAGAAAGTAAAAGTGAGGTTTTTTCCTATTGGTCACAGTATACCTTAAATACATTCACTCTCAATACACACATGCTTGGCACACACACTTCTAATGAGAATATTTTTAGTTAGATGAGAATGTGCTTTGACTTATATTCATTATATTGATTCATCATAGAAATTAGGATACATTGTTTCATTATTTTGTCTCCTTTTGCAGGATATTAATGCACATGCCTGTGTTACTGGTAAACCCATCAGTCAAGGAGGCATCCATGGACGCATTTCTGCTACTGGCCGTGGTCTTTTCCATGGAATTGAAAACTTCATCAATGAAGCTTCTTACATGAGCATTTTAGGAATGACACCAGGATTTGGAGATAAAACATTTGTGGTTCAGGTTTTTTAAAAAAATTAATTTTCTTTATAACTGAACAATATGTGGTTTGGCTTTGTTTTGTTTTTGGACACAATATCTTTATTTATCTTCTTGCGTGGTGCTGAGGATCAAACCCAGTACCTCACACATGATAAGCAAGTGCCACAGCCCCAGCCCTACAATACATTTTTAATGTTTGTAGATTTACAACTTTAAATTTTTATTATTTTGAATCTGCTGGGTTTTAGAGTGTTGCTTTCAGAAGAGTAATGCATCCTCTTTTGAATGTTGATTCATGTGACTAGAACTGATTTAATATCTCTCAGATATATATAAGACAATAATCAACTTCTTTTGGACCTTATTTGAACCTGAAATTGTATCCAAAAAAGGAAAATGCCTCATAATTTTCTAAATATGAGTATGCAGAAAAGTTTGCACATTGCCCCAGACTTGTATGATATGGTAACATTTATTTTATCTAGGGAAATTAAATTATGTTGAACATTACTTTAGAGTTTATATTCCTCTACACTAATGACATACATTAATATGACCATAGGACCTCAGGTCATTCAGGTCTGACCACACTGGTATGGTTGGCATTGTTACCATTTCTTTATAAGCCAAGAATCTTGCATCTAACTAAACCTCTTCAGGACTTACTCTCACCGACAATAAAGGGTTGGGTTCCATCATAAGATGGTATTGACCCAGATTCTTAAACATGGAGATTTATTGTTTAAGAGAAGTCATTTAGTATGTTGGTTTTTCTGGCAAAAGGAATTTGAAACTTTCCCTATATGTGAGTTAGGATAATTAAGAATATAGATACAGGGGCTGGGGTTATGGCTCAGCGGTAGAGTGCTCACCTAGCACAGAGAGAATATAAATATACATGGATTAAGACTCCTACTATCTGTACCAAGACTTTAATTTGGGGGTTGTGTGTGATTGTTCTCCATAGGGGTTTGGTAACGTGGGCCTGCACTCTATGAGGTATTTACATCGTTTTGGTGCTAAATGTGTTGGTGTTGGTGAATCTGATGGGAGTATATGGAATCCAGATGGTATTGACCCAAAGGAACTGGAAGATTTCAAACTGGTAATCTGAACAGTTTTACTACTTTGAACCCTATGAAGTTAAAAGAAATATTATTTAAATATATTGCTTTTTTTTTTAATGTAGTTCAAAGTCCTTAAATTTTCATGTTTGTGAGGCACTCAGTATAAACATTTAAACTATGATGCAGCTATTCATTCTGTGATTTTCAATCAATTACAGCAACATGGATCAATTCTGGGCTTCCCCAAAGCAAAGGTCTATGAAGGAAGCATCTTGGAGGCTGACTGTGACATACTGATCCCTGCTGCCAGTGAGAAGCAGTTGACCAAATCCAATGCACCCAGAGTGAAAGCCAAGGTAAAAGCATTATAGAAATCAGAATCAGCTTTATAAATGTGAGATGATATTAACGAGGTCATAAAAAATTTTGTCAGATTATTATTGGGTTCCCCCACTCTTTAACTTTATTGCATATAATTTATGTCTCATAAATTTCACATTTAAAGGATATAATTTAATATCTTTTAGCATATTTATAGAATTATGTAACCATCACCCAAGTGTAGTTTTAAAAAACTACGGAAATAGAAAAGATGAAATGAAAGATACCTTCCTCATGCTCTACAAAGATGCACTTTGTAGAGCAAAATAACCTGTATTATTCATTTATTTATTTTTGCAGTATTAGGGAGTGAACCCAGGGCCTCATGCCATTCTAAGCAAGCACTATATTACTAAGCTACTTCACAGCCCGTTTTTTTGTTTGTTTGTTTGTTTGTTTTAATATTTTTTAGTTGTAGATGGACACAATATCTTTTTATTTATTTTTATTTTGAAACAGAGTCTCACTTGGTTGCCAATGCTGGCCTCAAACTTGTGATCCTCCTGCCGTAGCCTCTAGAGTAACTGGGATTACAGTCATGTACCTCCGGCACATACCAGTTGATAATTTAACTAAAGTTATAATCTTCTGTGCTCAGTGGCTCATCCTGTAATCCCAGTACTCAGGAGGCTGAGGCGGGAGGATTGTGAGTTCAGAGCCAGCCTCAGCAACTTGACAAGGCACTTAGCAACTCAGTGAGACCCTGTCTCTAAATAAAATACAAAAAAAAAACAGGCTGAGGGTGTATGGTCCAATAGTTAAGCTCCCCTGGGTTCAGTTGTTGGTACCAAAAAAATTATAATCTTCCATTCAGTTCTCTTATCCATATGTGCATATCTGTAATCCCTAGCCATATATGTGTTCCTGACTCTCTTGCAGATCATTGCTGAAGGTGCCAATGGACCAACCACTCCAGAAGCTGATAAGATTTTCCTGGAGAGGAACATCATGGTTATTCCAGTAAGTCATCTGTGTTCATCCAGATTTATGCATACTAGGAATTACAGTTGCTTTTTGCTAAGAATTAGGGGAAAAGAGAAGACTTACTCGTCTCCTCAGCTGGTGAATTTTTTGTCTTTATGTTACTTTTAAGAAAATGGAGGCAGCGGCATAACTAATTTTATATTGTATATGATATATTATTTCAATTTAAACCCTTAAGATCTTCTATATAATTCCTAACTTAATACATTTCAAGTGTTCCTTCCTGCTTTATTTAGAAAGCTCTTATGAGGAACATATGCTCAGGTCTGGGGTATATTTTGAAGAGCGCTCTTTGCTGAAAACATTTAACTAAAATAGGCTGCTTTTAGGTAGTAGGAATGCTAATCTCCTGGTAAACTGCCTGTTGGTCTAGTCTCACCAAAATTGACCAAATATTCATTAATGACCCAAAAAAGATTTTCCTAAATGAAAAAAATCCTAGTTGAATTTTGAAGGGGAGTTTATTAAATTATGAAATTGCTGATACTATCGAAAATATAATTGGGAAGTTTAAACCTTCGTCCACCTAGGTATTAAAATTGAGTTCTTATGTTCATTTTAAGCTTTTGCTAAAGTCATCATCTTTTAATTTCTTTGCTGTCTTCCTGTCACATTTTATGTATAGGATCTCTACTTAAATGCTGGCGGAGTGACAGTATCTTACTTTGAGTGGCTGAAGAATCTGAATCATGTCAGCTATGGCCGATTAACCTTCAAATATGAAAGGGATTCTAACTACCACTTGCTCAGTGAGTCCCTATAATATCATTCTCCAAAAAAAATAACCCTTTTGACCAGCCAAAAGGCTGGAGAAAGCATACATACACTCAGGAGGTCTTTTCCCTTTGGTAATCTTAGAGACTTCCATCTCAGAGTAGAAAACTCTTATTTATTTCTCTCTTAAGGATTAGACCAAAATACCAATTTCTTTGGGCATTCAATGAATTGACTCTTAAATGTATTTATATTTAAAATTTTTTTTTAATATTTAGTTTTTAATTTTTAGGTGGACACAATATCATTATTTTATTTTTATGTGGTGCTGAGACTTGAACCCAGTGTCTCACGCATGCTAGGCGAGTGCGCTACCACTTGAGCCACATCCCCAGCCCTCAAATTTTTATTCTATGATTTTATATTTCCAGAACATAATCCACAAGTTAACAATGTTATAAAAAGTAGTATCTTAAATTATATGAGCTCCATTGTTTGATACTCATCCATTTCTGTCTCTGGTTGCTCTTAGTAAAGGCCTATCTAGTGTCGAATTTTTTTGAGTGTTCTGATGAGAATACTTGTTCTGATGAGAGTAAGCTACACAGTTAAGAGTAGAATTTCTCATCAGGCTGAAATGAGACCAAGACCTCCAACTGAGCAGCCACTCTGAGAATCTGGGTGAAGTGTTCTTCTATTTCCTTTTCTTTTTTGCTCAGCATTTTCTTTTTAATAGAGCCAACGAAAAACCCTGGTAATGGGTGTTATGGAAACAGAGAAGTGACCTAAATTCACATTTACATAGGGATTTGGCAAAGTTTTCTATTCCTTTTTGACTGAGTTTTTAGAAATTAACTCTTTTATATCTCTTTAGCATTGAAGATTTCTAAAACTGTTTTGAAAAACTACAGATATAGTTTGGGGCTATTTATGGAGGTTTTGAGGTTTTTGTTGTTGTTTGTTTTTCTGCCCTACTAGCAATATTTTATTTTGATCTCTTGCTTTTTTATAGTGTCTGTTCAAGAGAGCTTAGAAAGAAAATTTGGAAAGCATGGTGGAACAATTCCTATTGTACCCACCGCAGAGTTCCAGGACAGGATATCGGTGAGTGTGGTAGCACCAAAGTAGCACATATGTTCCCTATCCTGACCTCCATACAGCAGGTTGACTGGAGTTGACAGGTGGTGGTCAACATGTTAGTAATTGTACGCTTTTTGTGTGTTTTGTATCTTCTTCCATTCTGTTATAAAAATGAAGAATCCTTGTTACTAATATCAACCTTAAATAATTAATTGCTCTTCTGCTTTTGTTACTTTTTGCAATATAAGTGACTTTACAGTGATTCAACATAATCATGAATGATTGCTATCTATTTTAATTTTTCTAAGCTTCAAAGAAACAGAATTTAAAAATAAACATTAGACTGGACTATATGAAAATTTGAAATAGCTAAGTGGACACAAGAGATAAAACAGATTAGAAAAGGTATTTCATATTAACCAGATGTTGACTTAATAGTGTAACATACTGCAAAGAGAATTTCTTTACCACTACATGACAGCAGACATACAACAAAGTCCTGTACGTACACTTAAATAAAAGTTTAACCCTCACTATTAACAAAAACAGCATAAACTGCCTATTGGTCCAGTCTGGGAACTTGGTAAGAAGAGACTCTCACCAAAATTGACCAAATACTCATTAATGACCCAAAAAAGATTATCCCTGCCAGAGTGACTTGCAGCACATTGGAGGGCCTCTTGAAGGGCTCACTTCTCCAATTAATCCCCTTACCTGGCATGTGTCTGATACATGCCTGGCATGCGGTGATCACTCAGATTGTGCCTCAGGAGGGGCACAGAAAGAGAACAATTATCTGGTTGTGAGTGACCTTTTTAACACATTTTTGGGATTTTTTTAGTGGGGACAGGTACTGTGGCTTGAGCCTAGAGCTACTTAACCATACCTCCAGCTCTTTTTATTTTTTATTTTGAGACAAGGTCTCTAAATTTCTAAGGCCGGCCTTGAACTTGTGGCCCTCCTGCCTCAGCTCCCAAATCGCTGGGATTATAGGCATGCAGCACCACCACACCTGGCTTCCTACTTTTTAAATGGTTTTAGTGCTGCTAAGTTTAACTTTGTTATTTCTCACTCTTTGCTGAGTTTGTTATTTCAGGAAGTCTTATTTTTCCCCAACTCTGTCCATTGTATTTCCCCTCCCCAGCCCTTTAGCCCTTCCAGGCTTAAAATAACTATTAACCCTACCATCTTTTCACTGTCTCTCATCCACACCCCCTAATTTTCTCTTCTATCTAATGAAAGGCCCACAATCCGTCATTACAGTAGTACTCCTTGGTCTTGTTTTGCTTTATCATATTCATTTCTTGTGAACAATTAAACAACCACTGATAAAATCCCAGCTCTCCTTTTTCCATTCTTATGCCCATGTAGCTGGAGGCTCTGTTGACTAACCAGTCTCATTACTTTTCCCTATTGCATTCATTCGTTTCCTCCCCTGAATCGTGTATCATTTTCTCCTCTTCTTACCTACATTACAGCTCCTGAGCTGGTATCTAATCAAAGAAAGTTGAAGCAGGCAGAGAACTTGCACACCCAGTCAACTTTTGGTGTCTACCCTTTCCTGTGCCATTTTCCCTAAGGTGGTAGATTAATTCTGTATGCTTCCATTTACACCCAGCTCTTGCACAGAATATTGCATAGCTTGTCCCACAGCCTCTCAGATATACTACACTTAACAAGTCTTGTCCTCTCTCCTGCATCATCAGTTTTCCCTCTACTGTCATTCTCTCAGTATACCAAGTACTGCTTGAAAAAGGTACATCTTAATCCTATTTCTTCAGTTATTGCCAATTTTATTTCCCATACACAAAGCCTCCTTAAAAGAGTTATATATACTCCATCTTCAGTTCTTCTGTACTTGAACCTACTCTACCAAAACTGTTCTTTTCAAGAGAACCAATGACATAGCAATGCCCAGTCCAGTGGTCACTTTTCGGTCCTCATCTTGACTTAATCAGCCATTCTTTTCACTGTTAAGGATGCTGCCTGAGACTGTTTTCTTTCTACCTCACTAGCCATTCCTTTTCGTTGCTTTTTGCTGGTACTCTTCCTCTCTCTGCCCTTTTAATACTAGATGCCCTCAGCCCCTGAACCACTTCTAAAAACACTGGGCACCTGTTTGGCCGCATGATTTCAAGTTCACACATCATTTCACCACCACCCCCACTAAGATATAGACTCCATGAGAACAGAGAATTTTGATTGTTTTGTTCTCTACTGTGTCCATTTGTTTTTGATAGTGTGGATTGAACCCACCAGTGTTTAAACACAGAGTCACTTCCCCAGCTTTTTTTATATTTTGAGTCAGAATCTCACTAAGTGTCTTAGGGCTTTACTAAGTTTCTGTGACTGGCTTTAAACTTGCAGTTCTGCCTCAGCCTCCTGAGTTGCTGGGATTACAGGTGTGTACCACTGTGCCCAGCCATATGTTTCCTTATTAATACATATGTTTTAGAAATATACTTTCTTAAATGAATACAGTATTAATTGGATGGTATCCAGCAAAGATAACTTTTTTTATTAATGCACTTTGTTTTCTTTCTGACAGGTCATGAATGTATATTCTATGACTATGTATGGTACATGAGGAAGAATAGTGATAGATAACTGACAAAGGACAGAGATAAGCTGACTTGATAATGGGAAGCCCTGGGTCATTCCCAGTCTTAAAATAGCTATTGATAACCTTGCCCAACCTTTGGTCCTGGGTTTTTTCCTAAGTAAAATTAAAGAGCTGCTAAGATCATCCAGCCTTAAAGTTGGTGGTATTACTGAATACACAAGCAGGGTTCTACTCCAGAGCTGCTGTTGGCTTTAACCAGATTTTCTTCTGGTTAAAATGCAACTGCATCAGTATCAAGATACTTTATCTTCTGCTAGGTGTGGTGGCACATACCTATAATCACAACAATTTTGGAGAGTAAGGGAGGAGGATCACAAGTTCCAGGCTAGCCTTGGCAACTTATTGCAAGATCCTATCAAAATTAAAAGTTGGGGATGTAGCTCAATGGTAAAGCACCCCTGAGTTCAATCCCCAGCACCACTCCAAAAAAAGATATTGTACCTTGGGTTACAGATGTTACTTAGTGGTAGACCCCTTTCCTAACATGTCAGGCATTGGGTTTCATCCCCAGTACCACAAACCAAAGGAAAAACAAAAACATATTGTTCCTTGATAGTGTACAGAAATTACATGTATCTTTGCTAAAAAACAAAACAGTTCTGTCTGTACATTAACTTAAGAATCCTTTGTACTTTTCTGGAGTCACAAAATACTTCTTCATGTGATTTTGTTAAATTTGTGTTCTTTTTTTCCTACAGGGTGCATCAGAGAAAGACATTGTGCATTCTGGCTTAGCCTACACCATGGAGCGTTCAGCCAGGGTACGTGAATTGATGCTGACTTTCTGTTAGTGACAGGAATCATACATAGCTCAACCATATCATCTCAGTGGCCAAATTATATATGTAATGATAGAAAATAGGAGTCTGTCCTCATTTGTGTGCAGCAAAAAACAAATGCCTTTTTTTTTTTTTCTCAAACAATGAGTAGTGTTGTCAATCTTTAGTGTTTACCAAACTCTGAAAATAATAATACTGAGAGATAGGAGGGAGTGATTGGCAGTAATTAGCTACATGTTGAGTAGTGGGGCCAAACTGGAATACAGCTCAGGTTTCACTATATTTCAGCTGTAGGAAGCTACCTTTCTATAAAATTTGGTTTAAGAGTTTTTTTGACTACTTGATCCTTGTTTCAAGCAAGGCCTTAAACACAGTTTGAATCCGTTTTCCTAGTTTCTTCTTAAGCTCAGATTCTATTCACTTGAATTTCCAAGTTGAAACAACATAAAAAACACTGATGAAGCTAGGTGTGGTGGCTGAGGCAGGAGGATTGAGAGTTCAAAGCCAGAATCAGCAAAAGCGAGATGCTAAGCAACTCAGTGAGAACCCTGTCTCTAAATAAAATATAAAATATGGCTGGGGATGTGGGCTCAGTGGCCAAATGCCCCTGAGTTCAATCCCTGGCACCACACCCCCCCCCCCCCCCCCCCCCCCCCCCCAAAAAAAAACATACTGATAAAGAAGGTGGTGCTCTTAGAATTGTTTTTGTTGTGATATAGCTAAAATGCTATAAATTCATCTGTTTAAAGTATATAGTTCAGCAGGATATTCACATAGTTGTGTTGCCATTACTACTATGAAATTCTAGAACATTTTCATCACCTCATTTAGGTTTTTCGAAACAATTAAAAAGTATATGATATACACAACTTAACAGTGTCTTATGGGCAGAGAGGCATTTGCATCTGCAATTCTGAGAATGGCTTTTTATTACTGCCAAGACAGTAATTGTTGATAATAATTCCAGAGAATTAGTCCTTCCTGCCTAGAGGTTGTTGTATTGATGGCATAATTTGTCTTTGGCTGCCCAGATCCCACTGTGGGGCTGTCACATGTCTTTTGTGTTCATGGCCCAAACTGCTTGACTCAGGTGGTTTTCACTGCCTTTTCTCCTTCATTTCAGCAAATTATGCGTACAGCCATGAAATATAACCTGGGCTTGGACCTGAGAACAGCTGCGTATGTCAATGCCATTGAGAAAGTCTTCAAAGTATACAATGAAGCTGGCGTGACCTTCACATAAATGGATCATGGTTAACTTCCTCACCACCCTCTGTAACTTCTGCTGACCTATCACAAGTTTACATGTAACTGCAGAAATCTTTCTCTCATGACTCATTAAACAATGGACACTGTTCTAAACAAGTCAATTTGATTCAACCCCTTAAGAAGAAAGAAATTAAGTTTAGGGGATCGTGTATAATCTGATGAGTGTGAAAGTAGAAATTACCTATTCCAGAAAGCCACTTAGGCAATTTGCTTTTAAATAAAAAGTATCTTCCACCTGACTATGCTGCCTTGCTCCAGGGCTCTTCCCAACACTGTCAGGGTTGTTACCAAGGAAAGCAGTCAAGAACAGTTACTCAGTTTTACTCTGGCAGGTCTGGGACATGCTGTAACTTTTGATACATGTGAGAATTAGATATATGGTTTTTGAAAGGTGGCATGGTCCTCAAATGAGTTATTGGTATTTTACATCTGCATAATAACTCAATTTTATAAGTTGCAAAAAAAAAAAAAAATAAAAGCTGTCTCGTATGCATTTTATTCTCATAGAATAAAATAAGTACATGCTGCTGTAATAAAATTGCCTTGAATCACTTAATAAGCCTAACCTTGACTCAAGCAGTGAATGCCTATAAACATAGTAAATGAAAAAAGCTAGTATTTTTATAACATAAAGTAATATCATTTATAGCTTATCAGTCATATATTGTCCAACAGAAATAAAAAGCCTGATGGAGATCTGTCTTCATACCTAGAAACATTGGAGGCTATTTTTGTTAAAACTATCAGAATTTGCTAACTGCCATTATGACACATAGTCCAAAGAATGTAGTAACCTCCTTATCATGTTAATTAATTGTTCTTCCCTTTTGAAGATTATTGTGTTGACTAAACCATAATTCAAGTAGAGTGTCCCAAGAAAAACCACTGGGCTCCCTGTTTGGAGTCCAGCTGGCTCTGTGCACTGCTGGTGGCCCTGACTCAACCTGTGTGTCCTCCCCTTCTGGAGGCTTTGCATTCTGCACCCAGCTTCATTAACAGCAGGCTGAAAACAACATAGGTTCTAGTGTTTATGGAGTTTTTTGGCCAGGGCCTTTTGGCCTTTTGAGCAGTGTCCCAATGAAGTTCTAGATATTTGTGTAAGAATGAGCGCTTTTTTCCTCCTCCTTCTTTTTTTTTTAACGATAATGCCCTTTCACAGATTTCTAACTACTTTGTAACTGCATGACTTAACCTGGTGATAAAAGCAGTTATTAAAAGTCTACATTTTCCAAAATTTGTTTCTTTTCTGTGTTTTTATATTTAATAGTCTCTCTCTTAGTAGGATAAAACTACATCTGGATTTCAGAAATTTTGTAACAGCTGCCTATGTATCATTTCTTTATGTTCTGTCCTGAGCTACCCAAATTTTATTCCTGAATTCTTTTGCATTTTAATTTTATTAAGTAAGCTGTTCTTGGGGAGGAGATTTAATGATTAAAACTGATAAGTGATTTTTAGTGCCTTTTTAAATGAGGGGAGGTTTTGTTTGGAATAATTTAGCCACAGAATGTAAGTGCTGTTTAAAACAATACAAACTGCAATCAGCAGAATGGATTCTAGATCAGATTGCACCAATTACTTAGCTGCCAGATTTGGGGCCTAAGTTTCATTCGTTCTCTTTATCTGTCCTTCATGGTCTGCCTCATTGCTTCTGATTATGAAATCATCAGATGGACAAGCCCAGTGGCACGTGGACACAGTGAGCCCTTCTGCAGCACCTAAGTGTACTGAAGTATATCAGGATGGAGAGAAGGATGTGAAAATAAATTCTAGAAGGTTTGGAATGATTTTGGGTAGGTCAGTACATTCAGATCATGTGAAAGTAAGATAAGTCTTAGTCATGGCGTTTGACTAAACATCAGAAATACCAATAGTGATGACTTCAGTTTGTTTGGTTTTTTGCAGTTATAGAGATTGAGCCCAAGGCTGCCTGTAAGCCAAGCAAGTGCTCTACCACTGAGCTACAGCCCCTGACCCCTGATGGTATTACAGGGGTTTTTGATTTCACAAAGTTGTTTAGGGCCTCACTAAATTGCTGAGGCTGGTCTTGAACTTGCAATCCTCCTACCTCAGCCTCTCCAGTCTCTGGGATTATAGGTGTGCATCACCATACCTGGCTCTGATATTGGAGTTTTTTTAAAGATTAAAATGTTGAGAGGTACTAATTGTTGATATTAAACTGTATTGTCTCAGAAATGGAGTCTATAAAGATGACCCAGCACTAGTTGATTCCTCAAGTTTTGAGTTAAAATCTGGTCAGTTATTCTTTAACTGAAATAACTCTCTAACTGAAATTTCCTTATTTATTTATAATTATTTATTGAGTAAAGATCTCCTGATTCAAAAGAAATTTATGACTGTATGCTACCATTACTAAATAAGTGAATTAATGCAGAAAATAGGAAATTATCCCATAGAGGGGTATGCCAATTAAACATGCAAGGAATAATAGAAAATTTTCACTGATACTAAAAAATGTTCAGTGGGGAGACAGCTAGTCTCATAGTATCTCCCCACAATTTTTACAAAAGAAAAAAAAAATCTCATAATTGAGGAGACTTGTCTATCACAAGATAATAATTATGACCATTTTCATTCCCTTGACAATTTTTTTTTTATTGTACACTTTTTTTTTTTTAACTTTACCAGTGAGTTTTTATCACTTAATGATCCAGGGTCCCAAGGTAAGAACTACCATGTACCCAAGTCCTCCTTTACCATCCTGGGAGAAGGACAGGAGAACCATGTAGAACCAGTTTAAATCTTCCCAGGAAATATGCCTTCTGCCGCGTGTTCATCTTTAGTTGAGATGCAGGATATCGAGCAGAGGGACTTACACACATTCATACCAGTACCACATACACACACAGACATCACTCCCCATTTGCAGTCATTGCCTTCTCACAGAGATGGAAGTTAAGATAATCTGACAGCAGTTTCTGATCTGATTCCAGCTATCAAAAGAGACAGTCTTACAGTTCTTGATTTTCTTCTTTTTTTTTTTTTTTTGGTTCTAGAAATTGAACCCAGGGACGCTTAACCACTGAGCTACATGCCCAGCCCTTTATGTGTCTGTGTGTATTTAGAGTCAGGATCTTGCTGAGTTGCTTAGGACCTCACTAAGTTTCTGAGGCTGGCTTTGAACTCGTGATCCTCCTGCCTTAGCTTCCACAGTCTGGCAGCATTACAGGTATGCACCACCTTGCCTGGCTTGATTTTGTTCTTGGTGTCTCTTGATATGATGCTGACTCCTAAAGTCGCTCTTTGAGCAGCATGTGGCTCAGTGTCTAAGCCTTTGAGTTATTTTCTCAGTGGTTGCCCTTAGGATTATAACATCTTGATTTACAACTTAATAATTAATAACAACCCATGTTAGGGATGGTGGCACACACCTATAATTCCAGCTAACTAGAATGCTAAGGCAGGAAAATTGCAAGTTTGAGGCCAGTCCGGGCTACTTAGCAAAACCCTATCTCAAAAAAATACAAAGGGCTGCTCAGTGGCAGACTGTTGCCTAGCATCATTAAGCCCTGGGTTCAATCCCCAGTTCCATAAAAAAAATAATAAAGGCATACAAAAATTTTACTCATATAGCTCTGTTCCCTTTGCTCCCTTTCTGCTGTTATATCTGTATATCATATGCCAATCAATAAAGATCTAAATTATTGCTTTATACAGTTATCTTTTAAAGGAGAAAAAGGTACATTTGAGCCAGGCATTAAAGCACATGTCTGTAATTCCGGCAGCTTGAGAGACTGAAAAAGGAGGAGCTCAAGTTTTAAGATCAACCTCAGCAATTTAGCAAGGCTCTAAGCAGCTTGAGAGACCCTGTCTCAAAAGATAAAAAGGACTGGGGATATGGCTGAGTGGTTAAACACCTCTGACTTAAATTCCCAGTATCCTCCCCCCCAAAAAAAAATAAATACTCAGAAGTACATTTTTACTATCGTATATTTACCTGTTCAATTATATCTGATGTTCCCCCTTTTTCACTGTAGATTTGAGTTATTAACTACTATCCTTATATTTCAGCCTGAAAGGCTATTAATTATTTCCCATTGAGAAGGTCAGTTCTCAGGAATTCTTTTTATTTTTGTTTATCTAGAGCATGTTAACTTTTTAAAAAATAATTACTTTTTAGTTATAGGTGGACACAATACATTTATTTTATGTGCTGCTGAGGATCAAACCCAGTGCTTCATACATACTAGACCAGCACTCTACCTCTGAGCCACAACCCCAGCCCAAACTTTATTTTTTTTGGTGGGCTGGGGGGTGGGGAGCGTGCTGGGGATTGAACCTAGGGATTTGTGCATGTGAGGCAAGCACTCTACCGCCTGAGCTATATCCCCATCCCTTAATTTTTTTTTTTTTCTGTTGAGTTTTCACAAGTTCAGAAGTGAGTCTTGGAGAAATATACAATCCACCACAATAAAACAACATTAACAAAGCTTCACGGACAGGTGAAGTAAGCACTTTAGAGCTCTACTGAGCTGAATCTGAACTTGAAAGTGTGCTATATTTAGGATGATGAATGTTCCCAAAGGCCTATAGGGTGAAGGCTTGACCCACAGCCTATGGCATTCTTGGGACATGGTGGGACATTAGGCAATGGGGCCTAATGGAAGGAAGGTAGGTCACTGGGGAGCACTGGCCCCCAGCCCTTTGTTCTTTGCCTCCAGGCTGCATTGCAGTGACAGTTCCCCCCACTGCCTGCACTCACCATGAGGTCCTGCCTCACCACAGGCCCAAAGGCACTGGGGCAAGTTACCATGCACTGAAATCATGAGTCAGAGCAACATTTTCCTCCTTATGTAAGTTCATTATCTCAGGTGTTTTGAGTATGGTGACAGAAAACTAGCTCAGAGTCCCACCTTGCTGCATTATCATGAGAACAATAAATACTGATTAATTCTAAAATTTTTCTGATAGAGAACATGATATCAAACCATGACAACAAATAGGAAGATGAAGGCCTCTGGAAGGTAATATACTAAAACTTTACCCACAGATAGCTACAGACAGTGTTTATATGACTTCCACCTTTGAACATCAGGTGTTTATAAGACAGATGGTCAAAGAGTTCAATCGATAATTTCCAAAGTAGGAGCAAGGAGAGGTGACCATATCAAGTGACCACCTCCCATTCTCATAATGCCAGCGGGGTTTTTTTTTTTTTTTTTTCCTTGTTGGTATTTTATTTTTGTTGTACTGGGGATCAAACCCAGGGCCTCACACATGCCTGGCAAATGAGCTCTAGCACTGAGCCTTATCCCCACCTCCCCACACCACTTTCAATTTGTCTGGAGAGTCAACTGCAAGAGTATAAGATTTTCTCGGGTTTTTCAAAGAGATGGAATGCTATAGTTAGGCAGACTCTTCACGAAGTCAGGAATGTTGGGGTCCTGGGCTCCAGTCTGGTCTGGACATTGGTTTCTGCTGACCTCTGCATACAGAGCAATTTTCTCATTGCTTTCCTAATGGAGAAAAATTATAGCAGTCCTTACTCCACCATTTTTGCTGACATAACTCTCCCTTTTTATATTGCTATTTATAACATGCATAGTTTGATAGAAGTTGATTTCATGCCCCTCATTGCAGAGCACAGGCAGCAAAAAGAAAATGAGAGTAGAAGTGCTTACTCTAGAACAACAACCTGCAAAGTTAAGTTAGGGAGTTGTGGGCAGTGTTTCTCCAGCTCTCTGAGAATGAACAATCTGTTTAAGTGATGGTATGTGGTCTTATTGCACAGTGACTAGTGTACATGCAACTTGCCAGGCAAGTTCAACAACCCAAGCTGTTCTACATCCTGTTCAGCAAGAATCGTCCATTGATCACCCCTGAAGATCCAGGCAATAGTCAAATTACTGTAAATTTCCAATCTCAGCTACTTGTTACCAAGTAGTAATGGAGTTTGCAAAACAGCAAATTTTGAGTAGCATTTCTTTAGAAAACGATCCTGAATAAAGTAATACAGTCCTCTACAACCACATCTTTGGGGAAAAAAAAAATCTATTATCTGGGTGTGGTGATGCACTCCTGTAATCCCAATTACTCAGGAGGCTGAAATGGGAGGATCCCAAGTTTGAGGCCAAATTCAACAACACCCTATTGCAAAATGAAAAAAAAAAAAGGCTAGGATGTAGCCCAGTAATAGAGCTAAACTCTGAATTCTATCCCCAGCATCACCAAAAAAAAAAAAGTAAAAAAGTTATTGGTTTTCTCTTAAACAAACATAAGGGAAACAGGTTAAAAAAATTTTTTTTTCCTCTACATATGCTATCAGCTTTTTCCTTATACAGTTATTTTTGCTTCTACATGTATATTTTATAACTTGTTGATAATTAGACACACCCTCATGATATATGTACATTTCCCCTCATTTTTAATAGCCTCAGAATATTCCATTACAAATACATACAATATTTGTTGGCCAATCCCAGTTGATGGTCATCTGGACCTGGGTCCCATTTTTTTAAGCTAAGGAATTTATAATACAGTAGAATTCATACGTATCAACTCTATGTTGTGTGTGACGCCTAATAAACACCAGAACTTGCTACACATATGATATCCGATAGCATTTTAGGATATTAACAACCTCTCACTATTACAGATGTGCCACAATAAATCTGAATATGCCCTTTAGGCCCCTGTGTGTAGCTGTGCACACCTGAAAAAGAAAGTCCTAAAAACCGATTTCCCATTCAAAGCAGGTGTTCTACTTTATTCTGCCACCCACAATAATTTTAGCCCTCTAAGCTTAGGTTTTAGAAAGGGGAAGTTCAAAGTCATCAGGAACCAACTGAGATACAATGTTCAACTCTAGCTGGGCAGTGGCAAGTGTAGACCAGAAATATAGTAAGCAACTAATTCATTCTTTAATCAAAGCACACTTTTTTCTACTTCCTAAGAAAAAACAGCTCCCAGCTCTATTGTTACACATCATTTCCTCTTTTGTATTCCAAAACTTTTAAGCTCAATGCTGCTTACACATGTGTAACCTGTGCAGTACTGACTTGCTATCAACAAATGGACCTGACACAAGGCCCCAGTGGAGATTCAACAGCAGCTTCTAGGGCCACTCAGCAGTGGACTCAGGGCCTCTTTGACCTGGTTCCACAACTGTACAGCAGAAATGTTGTCAGAGCCTCTTGCAGAACGTGAAGCAGTTTAGTGGGAGCCTGCCCTGCCAAACTTCTCATCAGATTGGTCTGTTACCTTCCTTGAGTCCTACAAGAGCATTTCAGGGAGGACCCAAAGAACATGCAAGAAAAATTTGGGTTCTCCCTCTAGGTGTCATTGAAGCATCAAGGTGTTTAAAAATCGTATTTTCTGGGGAAACAGTCTTTTCACAGAGCCCAGGATGGAAGGGTAGCTCCTGGTAGAACACAAGATTAGCAAGAGAGAGGTGGATGCAGTAAGAAGAAAGGAGGGAGAGAGCAGCAGATAACAATGCAATAGTTTGCTGCTCAGGCACAGAGGTGACACATGCTTGTCATTCCACATACTCCTAAGGCTCCTCAAAGAGGGGGATCGCAAGTCCAAGTCCAACCTGGCAATTAAGAACCTTTCTCAAAATAAAAGATGTAAAGGATTGGGATGTGGCTCAGTGACAAAGTTTCACTGGGTTCAATCCCCAGTACCAGGTTAAGGGGCAGGGAAGCTGCCTACTGACATGAGAAACCACAGAAGCATCTGATGCATCAGCTGACTCATCATAGAAAATGACCTGACCCACTGGCAGATGCTTGCCATGCTAGTGTGTTCTCCAGTTGAGGTACAAGAAAGCCTAAAAATACCTTGTCAGAGACTGGAGGTGCCCTGCAGTGCTAGGGTGCATGCTCAGCAAGTGTGAGGCCCTGAGTTCAGTCCCCAGCACCCAAACAAAAACTTTGCCTAGTGTTTCCCTTGAAACAGAAATAAGTCAAGGACTCAGTGTACACATTCCTCAGCTTTTTATTCAATATAGAGAGGGTCCGCTGTGGTCGCCAGCAGGCTCACTGTCCCAGTTTGCCCAAGCCCTCTGCCGCGTGGGTGACAGCATCTGTGACAGTGTTGGTCACTCTCTCGGTGACTTCTTTCACCACTTTCTCTCCCGACTCTTGGGCATTCTTTAAGGCTTCAGCAAGGGCTATCAGGAAGAAAAACAGAGAAAATGTCAGGGTGAACACCTCCCTATGCTCTTCATGTCACCTGGAGAGGCAGGGGCTGTGGCAATCTGACAAGAGCAACTCCTGGATACATCCCATGGGGCAGAGGCAGAATAAACAATGCTTACTCAGCATGCACAAGGCCCTGGATTCAGTCCTCAGTAACGCAAAACAAATTTAGTTTTATATCCCCAACAACTTGCCTTTCTTCAGTTTGAATGAGACTGAGTATCTGCTCATGGGTTCACTGGCTATTTATTCTTCATTTTTTCTGTTCATATCTTTTACTCTTTTTTATATTGGGTTGTTAGATCAGATTATGATTTCTATTATACATATTTTGCCTCAGCCTGTGGCTTTTGTGTGTATGTGGTACTGTGGTTGCACCCAGGGGTTACTGCATGCTAGGCAAGTACCCTACCACTGAACTACACCCCCAGCCCTGTTTATTTTATTTTGACACAGTCTCACTAAGTTTCCCAGGCTGGCCTTATATTTATAATCCTGCTGCCTCAGCTTCCCAAGTAGCTGGGAATACATGGGAGCACCACCACCACTGGCTTATTATTTTATATTTTAAATGTTTTGTCCCAGTGTCTGCCACATCATCTTTTGACACCTTGCATTGATATTGCACAGAGAGGACTACCTGGATGGAACCTAAACACAAAGTTTGGTATGAACTGATAATTGCATACCAATGGAAAGGATACAACACTGGGGCTGTGAGGGGGACTGACCTTTGACTTTGTTGGGTAAAGAAGGGGTTGGCCCCACCTAGCTTTCCTTTCTTCATTCTGTCCTCCATCTCTTCAACTTCTGGTTTGTTGTTATTGTTGTTGTTGTTGTTGTTGTTGCAGAAATAGGGATTGACCCCAGAGTGTTCTACTGCTGAGCTACATCTTCAACCCTTTTTACTGTTTATTTTGAGACAGCATCTCCCTAAGTTGCCTATGCTAGCCTCAAATTGACAGTCTTCTTGCTTCAGTCTCAGTGGCTGGGATTGTAGGCATATGCCACTATATGCTGGACTTGTTCTTTTTTTTTTGGTTTCTTGCTGATGCTGAAAATTGCATGCCAGACCTCATGCATACTAAGGCAAGCTCTCTACCACTGAGCTCCATTCCCCAGCCCTTTCTTCTGACCTTCTCTCCTTTCCACCTTTTCACTCTCATTTTCTCTTTCCTTCCATTTCTTCCTTCTCTCCTTCCCTCTTTGCCTCTGCCCCACCTCACTCCAACCCCAGCCCTCATTACCTTTCTCTCCAGCCTGCTTGGCATGCTCCACCACATCTTTCACCACTTCCTCCACAGCATGAACTAAAAAAAGGAGACAAATTCAGACAATTTCAGAGACAAATTCACCATGCAAGCCTGCTTCCCTTCCCAGCACCTCTGGACACCCAGGGTGGAGCTCCAGGATGCCACCCCCAGCCAATTCAGGCTGGCACAGAAGGGAGCTGAGGAAGCCCGATGAGGACACAGGGCCCTCCATGCTCCTCAGTCTGGTAGGGCGCGAAGTCCTGGGATCAAGCCTCTTGCCAGCTGGGGACCAGGAGCCAAGGCCTACCTTGTTGGCCAGGTCACCACACCTCTCAGGTTGATCTGGCTGTCCTGCCTTGACAGAATCCCTAAGCCTCCTCCAGGGAAACCACATCCCTCAAAGGAGTGCCCTCAGGAAGAGGGCATTCCCTGTTTACCTTAGGGGGTTTTACAGTTTGGGTGGTAACAACCTAGAACCAAAACGTTTTGGAGTCAAAACTGGTTCTAAAATCTAACTCCAACTTCCTCTGCTTCCTCTGCCATATCCCCTCATCATCCTCCAGTGGAAATCATACACAACTCACAAGTCCAAGGAAAGACTAAAGTGGGTGGTCCACACCAGCTGTGGAGTTAAAAGTGAAATGCAGACAGCTCTGCACCTGTTGACAAAGAGAAGAGCAGGCCTGGGCACAACCTTTTCACCATCATGTCCCACAGGTGGGACCTGGATTTTCTTCCCCCAGTAGCTGCAGCCCTTTGCCCACAAAACTAGTTGCTGAATTTTTGGAAAAAATGGGAAAATGTTCTCATGGACTTTGAATCAGACTCATTTGTTTCATAACTTGGAAATTCTTGAAGCTTTAAAATTATGATGGAAATTAAAATCCACCATCCTTTTTCAGCACAGGCTGTGAGGACAGGCAGTTTTGACACAGAAGGGCACCCAACTTTTCAGAGGAAAGGATCCAAATTGCCAGCTGCTCACCCAGCACCTGTGTTCCTCACCTGTCCCCAGGAGCCTCATCTGGCCTGGCCTCTCTTCTACCAAAGATCTTAGATTAGGCTCCACAGGTAGAGAGGGCTGCTTGGGGCAGTGAGGCTCTGAGGGTACACCCTCAACTGCCCTCCCCACTGTCTGCAGCCCATAGCTCCATCTCTCCTGGTGGGGTGATAGGCCAGGGTTCCCAATGGGCCCTCAGTGGGCCTCAAGGCCTGGCCTGATTCCTGGGATCAGCTTGGGACAGGCCCAGTCAAGCCTGCCCTGACCCCACACAGGGGGAAAGAAGCCCTAGGTCCTTACCAGCTCCCTCAGTGGCCTTCTCTGTGCGATGGGCCAGGCCCTCAGCCGCCAGCTTCCCCAGGCCTCCCAGCATCGTGCAACAGCAGGCAGTGACAGACAGGATGCTGGGGACTGAACCAGTGTGCTTTTATAGATAACTCTGATGTCTCACTAAGCACCAAACCATCACCTGACCTGTAAGAAGCTGGGCAGATGAGTCACTGGAGATGACAGCAAGAGGAAGAGGCTGGGTGGGGCATGCCAGGGCAGGGCACTGCCCCTCTTACACTGAGACACCCCACAGTGCCCCCACCCATGTCCTAGGAACCCTGTGCAGGAGAAGGACAGGGAACAGTTCTGAAGCTGGGGAGGAGAAGTCAGTTGGGGCAGGGGCCTGGGTGCTCTAGGGGAGGACAGCACTCAGAGACAACCGTCCTACCAGCTCAGACCCTGGTATGCACCTGGTGAAAATGCCCAGGATTCCCTGTCTGCTAATCAAGGTTCCCAGTGTGGCCTAGACAGGATTTTGGAGGTTCTAGGGATGTGGGGACTCAGTTATCCCCTGAGGTCAAGCACACAACAGTGGTGGTGGGCTGTGCTTGTAGCTCAGTGGTACAGCACTAGCCTAGCATTTGTGAGGCACTGAGTTTGATTCTCAGCACCACATAGAAACAGATAACAACAAAGGTCCATCAACAGGTAAAAAAATATTAAAAACAAAAAAAAAAGTAGTGGGCACCACCCCCCTTCCCATTCTTAAGGACCTTGGCTCTCCAAACAGAGGAGGTCACAGCCTTGAGCCAGGTAGTCACCCTGACTTTCCAGTCAGTTGATTATCATTCACTTGTGCTCCTGAGTGGCCCAGTGCTGGCGCAGCCAGCATGTGGAGGAATCCTGACCTCAATTCATTTTGGAGTACAGTCTGTAGGGGAGGATCTGAGAGATCAGCAAGAAGATCTTCTAGGTCTAAGGAGGTTTTCTGGCCCTAGCTAGAATTCCACAGAAAGCAGCTTTACTGGCCCTTTACACACGTCACACATGGAACAGGGCCAGACTTCCTCCTTGGTTACTCAGAATAGAGATGCCTCAAGCCACATGCTACATGTTGCCTACCTTAATCACTAGCCCAACGTAAGCATCAGTTTCCTCATCTATAAAATGGGAACAACTATGCCTTCCTGGCTGTGGCACTGATAAACAGTGGGACAAAGTATGCAAGCTCTCCGTAAATACCTGTTTCCTCCATGTCATCACCACTGTGCTAAGGAAGTACCCCTGGGCATTGAGTCCTGGCCAACCAGTGGAGTGGGCTAAGGAGTGGTTGGGGAATAAGTCTCCTTGGAGACAGAGGGCTGAAGGATGTGACTCCCACTGGCCAGGAGTTGAGATGAGAAGATCTTCCACCTTCCTGCTCCTTGGTCCAGGCCTAGAACAGGAGTCAGAAACTGCCCTCCCCATACTGACTCCCTTATCCCTCAGAGCCCTGGGTGTGGTGGAGCCTAATTAGTGTTTACCAGTCCATGAGCCTTCACAGCCTGGGTCATACTGAGCTGAGGCCCTCTCCCAGTCCTGAGAGAGGTTGGGAGGGCTCAGAGCCAAGGCCAGCCTCCCTGGGGTGGGTAGAGTATGCTGGGGGCAGCGGGACCTCAGGATCCTGCCTGAGGCCACAGCCCACACCTATCACTGCCACCTCCCTTGGGCAGAGATGGATCAAGGCTAAAACAATTTGGAGGAAGCCTCATTAACAAAAGGATTACAATAATTCTCCACTTGCAAGTTATCCAAGTAGACACCTATGACCCAGGGGACCTCGGAAGAACCATGAAGGTGTGGACTGTGGAGCTTAAGCAGGTCCAGATGACCCTATGCTGCACTTGTTACAGCTCCAGAGGCCACCCAGGGCAAGGGTGGTGGAGGTCGGGGAGCCAGGGAAGCTGATGGGACTGGAGCAGAGGGACACATGAGGATGCTCCCTGGACCCATCAAACCCCTTTT